GCTTGGCTGGGTACCCCTCTTCAGGCTACCATTCTATTCTGCTCTATCATGGTACCTGGCCTGCTGCTCCTGTCTGTTTCCCTCTGTGTCTCTCTTATTTGGCTATGAGTGGCTGGTGGTCATTATACATAGTGAGCAGTGTGAGCAGTCCTTCAGTGCCCGGTTGTTAAAGGACTGGATGTGTGTACTGAAGAAAGACCAAGCAAATCCCCAGCTGGTCCAGGGAAGCCGGAGGGACTTCACGCAGATCAGGGCATGGACAGCATGTCTGTGGGATCCAGCATCCCCCTCATCCTCATGGTGGGCCAGCCCAGAATGCTGAGAACCCTGGGGCTCCTTCTGGAATTATCAGTACACTTCTTGGATACTAAGGCCTGACTTTTTGAAAGCCTTCTCCCCTTCTTTATTTACATGGACTGCCCCAGTCTGAAGAAATTTTCTTTGCAAATACAGTAAACAGTTGAAATGGAGGAAAGTCCAATACAATGTGACCAACACTTGACTTCAGGTTCTATGCCTGGGGCCCATCTCAAGCAAAGGTGGGAAAAACTCTTCTTTCTGCGGGCTTGTAGGGAAGTGACTGCCTTGTTCTCCTTTGGAGCTTTTGTGTTTGGTCTGTTGCATGCAGTAAGGTTTCATAATCTTTACTTTTGTGCTTTTTGTGATAGTACAGACCAAACAAAATATTATTTGTTATTAATCCTGCAATAATATAACTGCATATTTTACATGATAGGAAACTTGGGACTCAGCTTATTGCCTTATGGTGGAGTTTTATTATTTAAGCACCTATTTTGTGCCACAGTACAGTGCTAGCTTTAAGGCAATGTACAAAAGTGACATGTTTTCTGTTTTCATGGAACTTGCTTCTCATGGAGGAAATGGACAATAAGCCAATAAAATATTGCAAACTGAGATAAGGGCTCTGAAGGACTGAAACAGAAAACATGTGGTCTGGGAGGCTCTCTAAAGATGTGACATTTGAACTGAGGAAGGTGAGCTAGAAAGGCAGAGAAAGTATTCTAAAAATCAGGAACAGCATGTGCAAAGGCCCTGAGGCAGGAATAGAAAAGTTTTCAGCTTAGTGTGGATCCAGAGTCCCAGAGCAACCAGAACAAGAGGAAACTGGGGAATATAGAGCCAGTGCTCAAGCTTGAGGCCTAAGCCACAAGTTCAAATCTGCAGTGGGTCAGCCAGCTCTAGACTAGGGGCTGTGGAGGCCTGTGATAGTACAGATGTGATAGCCATCTGCAGGATGAGGATGGCTCCAGGCAATGACAACTCCTAGGATGCCATGGAGAGCCTTTCCTGAACCTCCAAGACAGTGTGGGCTATAGGACCCTGATAGGTGGGAGTACATTAAGCATCATTTTCCCTCCTCCCTAAAAATGTGGGGTCTGGCCTTGACTCCCTTTCATTCATTCAGCAATGGTTGGTTGAGGCCTACTCTTGCCAAGCACTGTACTAGGCACTGGGAATACCACAGTGAACCAGACATAAACCCCTGCCTTCAGGGAGCTCATATCCCAGTGAGGGAATCAAAAGCAGTACAGAAATCCCCAGCCTGAAACAAACTCAGTGTTTTGGAGATGTGTTTAGGGAGATCTGCCTTGCTGAAGAGGAGCCCTGAGATATCAGACCTGCCATTAGTTTTTTTCCGAGTGGATTCTATGAGACCAGAGTGCCTTGGCCCTTGAGTCCTCTTTCCTGTTGGTGAGAATTTAAAGGGAAACACACACACACACACACATCGCCCCTTTTAAGGGCTGTTAAAGGCCCCCACACAGACATAGAAACACCCAAATGCACATTCTTTTCTAATCTCCCTAAATCCCCCAAAGGCTAGAGGGTAGTGGTGGTGGTGGTGGTTATCTACTTCTTCATTTAGCTCAAGAGAAGCCAGGCTGCAGGCCTGGGGAACAGGATCAGGCTTAGCACCAACATCTCCCTTGCCCTGGGCTGGTCTCTGGGTCCTGGTCAGTCCCACACTTGGCCCCCCCAATGGCTGGGAGGAAAATGAGTGTGCTGGGCAAACATCCTTGCAGCTTCCTGCTGCTCCCTTCTGAGACAACAGAGCTCCTCTTCCTCCTCCTCCTCCTTCCTTCACCCTTCCAGCTGGGGCTTCTCTGGGATTCAAAACCATTTCACTCTAGAGAAAAGAGTCATCCATTTCCCTTAGCCAGAGGAGGCAGGCAACAGGCACACAGACTTAGTGGGTACAGACACAGCTGTTCTCCCTCCCTTCCTTAATCTCAGTTCTCTGTGCACCAGACCCTCTCTCATACCTGTCCAGGGGTTGAAGGATCACAGGGCACAGGGGAAGAGGGCTCTAGGGCAGCCATATCAGGAACTGTGGCAGAGTGGGGAGAGGAAGCCGCCACATCTGACAGAAAGGGCAGCCCCTTCTGAGGGGCACCTCTGAGAATCACATAGACAAGATTTCAACAGCATGAAGGTATCTTTCACAAAAGAAGAAATAAAGGACCCCTAGGCACCTCCCAGCACACTAGACTTTACTTTGCATACTCATTTTCCTGCTTCTGTCCAAGCAAATGCGTATTTCTTACAGAGTTGTATTCAGACTGAACATACTTTTGATTTTTTATTTTTGCACAGAGCAACACAGCACACACTTTTTCCATGTAATTTTATGGCTTTTATCTGCATTTTTAAGAATGATAGTGAATACCCCGCTCTCCATTGTCCAGACTGAGAAGCACACAGATTCCATCCCTTCTCATCCTTAGTCCTGGCAACATTCCATGCAGAATGAAGAGGAAGATGGGGGTGGGCTTGGTATGGGGGCCCAGCTGGAAGGAACCTTGCCTTAAACAGAGGGACCAGAGAAAGAGTGACTTGCTCAAGGTCACACAGCAACTCCTAGCTGAGCAGTCCTTACCACCCCATCTAGTCTCTGGAGGAAGTTAACTATAGAAATTTACCTACCAGGCATTGTCCTATGATTCTCTACAATGATGCCATAATGAAGGTTTAGTATCTCCATTTTTCAGATGAGGAAACGAAGGCCCAGAGGAAAAAAAGTCACTTGTCTGAACTGCGCAGCTGGCTGGTGGCAGAAGCACAGCTAGAGCCAAATTTCCTTATTCCTAGCCCAGGAGGTCTTTCTGTCTCTTCTAGTAAGTCCTTTCCTCTCCCCCTGCCTTGCCTGACCTTGCCTAGGCCCAAAGTCAGGAGCTTCCCAGCAGGGCTTTCCCTCCCCATCCCAGTCTAGATACCACTGTCTGATGGTGCCTCCTTTCCTTGATGGACTAAGGCCCGGATGAGCAGCTGGGGACACAAGGCTGAATGGAGCAGCAGGAAGAGGCTGTAGGCAGTGGAGTTCATTCAGAAGAAAGCCTAGTTCAGAGCTGCTGAGGACTGAGGGGATGTTACAGGGGTCTCTACCACCTCCCCTGACTGCAAGGGCACAAGAACAAACTCCCTCCCTCTGCCCAGGATCTGTTACCAACTCCAGGAGGGGGTGAATGGGACCCCAGATCCCTGCCACTTTATTCATAGGATCTGTGCCAGACCACCCTTAGAAAGACTTGATTCAACCTCTCCTCATTTTATAGACAAAGAAACTGAGGCCCAGGGAGGAGACCTAGTGGGGTGCCCAGGCTCACACGGGGAGGCAGAAGCAGGCAGGACTAGAATCCAGGTCCCCCAACTGCTGGTTGAAGCCCTGTTCCCTCTCCCTCCTGGCCTGTCTGCAGAACTGTGCTCCCTCTGACTGGAACCAGGGGTCTTTCTCAGAGAGCAGGATAATCCAAATCTGCTGCCTAATGGAGGATGGAGGACTAGACCTCACACCCTGCCTCCCTGACTCGGTTGCTGTCCCTTGGTTTGTTTCCTCACCAGCAGTCTAGGAGCTGGGACAGTCTAGGTGGAAGTCCAATCCTTTAAGTCTCTATGCACTTGTCTAGCCAAGTTTATCTTTGTCCCAGGAGGTGGAGACCAGCCAGCAGAGACCCCTGAGTTGACCACTGGGTATGTGTGTGAGACTGACGGTTCACTGCTGGGGGGACCCCACCAGATTCCCCTATCTGGCCACATTTCAACCGGATTGACCCACCTGAACCCAAATATTCTGTCCTATTATGGAGCCACGCCCCTCCCCACCGGCAGGGCTTTAGGGCTGAGCCTAAGAGAGGGAGGAAGGGAGGGCAGGAGAGAGAAGCCACGTTTCCTTAGAGAGGGAGGGGAACAGAGAAAGCAGAGAAGGACGGGCTCAGAGACAGATACAGTGGAAGACACAGGGAGAGACAGAGAAAGTCAGAGACAGGAGGGTCAGAGAAACAGACCTGGAGACACAGGGATGGGGAGACGACCTTCCTTGTCCTGACCAATCACCCTGTGCTGCCCTGCCCAGTTGAGCGTCAGGTCCTTCCCTGAGGGATGTCGGGCCTGACTCCTTGGGGAAGCCGTTGAGCACCCCTGAGTTTAGGGTCTGGCTCAGAATCCAGGTCTGGCTCTGGCCCCCCCAAGGGGCGTCGGATTTCTGGCCTCCCTAACACTTCTCTGTGCGCCCCCCAGCGGAGAACCAACGTTGGAGCCACCGAGGTCCTAAAGGGCGCGCAGCAAAGGGCGCCGCCACTTAGCGCCCAATCTGGTCCCGGAACCCTGGGTGGGTGGAAAGCGACTAGAAGACTTGGCGGGGGACAGGACTGGTGTCTCTTGAGCTCCCATCCGAAGATCGGATGGTCCCGACGCCTGGGTGTATTCCTCCCCTCTAAAGGCGGAGGGAAATTTAGCCCATGATGGAGCCCTCACGAGGGGGAAGCACTGACGCAAACTCAGAGGCTCCGGTCCAGGTTCGGGGTCTAGGGCGGTGTCGAGGGATCTGAACTCTAAGCATGTGACCCTCCAGGGGATCTTGCCCGGAGCCCCCTCCCCCCACTAAGGCCCAGTGATGTGCAGTCCGCTCCTTTGGAGGGGGGGACGCCCACGCGTGTCGCGATGTGGAGTGGTGGAAACGGGGCGCAGATTCTTCATCTTACCGCATTGTTGAGGAAATCCGACTCGTTCAGATCCCCCAAGTCCAGGAAGCTGGATCCGGGGAACAGCCTGTCGGCCGGGAAAGGCTCCAAGACGGCATCCATCACGGCTGGCTCCGGAGACCCCCTTCGACTGGGCTTCCCTCACTCCAGGGCGGCGGTGCGCCCGGCCCAGAGCTCCCGCCTGGGCGCTGGCAAGAGGGCTGGGGGCTGGTCCCGGGCGAAGCCCCGGGGGGAGGGGCGGGCGTAGGCTGCGCGGTCCCGGGTAGGGGGCGCAGGGGGCGCGGAGGTCTTAGAGCAGCGGCGCGGAGCTGGCTGGGCTCAGGGGCCCGGGGCGCACCGCGGGCATTCAGCCGACTCCTCCTCCTGCTCCTCCCGGGGCACAGCTGGCTTCCATGGGGAGCCCGGGAGTGGGGCCGAGGGCTTGAGGAGCCCCCCGGACAGGGTGGGAGCCGGGGCTGGGGGAGCTGAACGCTCCCCCAAGACTGGGTGGCTTCCGGGCGCTCTGCTCTCTCTCCGTCTCCCACTACACGGCTTCTGTCACTTTTCTCTTTGTGAAACCGGGAGCCCCAGGCTGGTTAGCCCAGCTGGAAGAGGCGCCACGCCCCCATATCAATACTTAAGATTCATATTAACAAGAGGGAGCGGCCTGAGGAATCGCCCCTCCTCTTTTAAAGGGACCTCTGCAAGCTAGTCTTCCTTGCCAATGTATTCTCAGAAAGCTCAAGGTAGGGGCTTGAAGCAAATTATCCTGGAGTCAATAACTGTGTTCCTGGATCTCGGCATCTTTTTAAGATGTTGCTAACCGCTCTCATAAGTTCATGAGGGAGTTGAATTATTTCTGTTGTGGGTGGTGGCGTTGTGTATTTTCCTCGGTTCTTGTTCCCGCCGCAACAAAGAATTGAAGGGCAGAGACACAGTAGTGAGGCAGACTAAGTTTAATTTAAAGTTACTTAGAAAGTGCAGGCGACCTCAGAGGGAAGCACACTGAAAGGTTAGGGGTTCCCCCTTTTAAGGATTTTTCAGGAATGTGACAAAGGGCTAAGGGTGTGGGCTTGTTAAGTGGTCTCAAGTATCTTTGATGAGACATTACGTTTCTTATCAGTCCTCTAGATAATTCTGCAAAATTAGCTTAAAACAAGAAATTTACTGCTCTGGTCCCCTCCCAGGATAGAATCTTCCCGGTTTGGGAGCATATCAATCAAGACTGTCTGCCCTTCCTCCCAGGTGGGCAGAGTTATTTGTTTGCTAAAGAGTATGTTAAGAATCTTACTTCTTAACTTCCTGGGTTTTTTCAAAATGCAATTTTGGCTTTAAGGTGGGATCTCCCTGTCTTTATTATGTTGTTTATACCTGGGTCTCTTAGCAGACTAGAGTAAATCTTATAATGGCACAATGAAGACATGGGTTGTGCTCAGATACTTCTCTTTTTCTGGGGAATATTCAAACATTCAAGGCCTTCCTGCTCCTGACTTTTTGAGCTTTAACTGATTAACTCATTAACTCTGAGTCTTTTCTGGCTTTCTAGTTTTAACTGGTTAGCTGAGTCCTTTCTAGGGGGATTTACTGACCTTATTCTCTCTCCACCCAACTCATATCTATTCTCCTGCCCAACATTTCTGAAGGGCCCCCACCAGTAAGATGGCAAACTTCCGGCTTCTCTTGGGGGGGGGGGTCCTCGGTTCCCGCCGGTGCCACCTGAAGCCCAATCACTTCTCGCTCCCCTCCCAATCCCAGCACCTAGCCAACAGCCAACAGCCCCGTAGAAGTGACACCTCAATCAATTCATGCCCATTCCTATATAACCCAGCACCTTTCCCTAATAAAGCGGAACTCTCCGGTGAATTGCTGCTATGTGTCTCTCCTTTCCTTTCATTGGTGCCGAAACCTATCTTTATTTTCTTTGCCCCCCTTCCGCACTTCAGGACCTGCTTGAATAGGCACGGCTAGACCGCGTCACTCCCCCACAGACTGAGCCAGAACCCTTCAGTCCCCCTCAGACTCAGTCCCGAGGGCCTCCCAAAATTATCGCCCCCCTCCGGGAGGTAGCAAGATCCGAAGGCATCGTGCGGGTTCACATCCCTTTCTCCTTAGGAGATTTAGCCCAACTAGAGAAACGCCTAAGTTCCTTTTCCACTGATCCCATGACATACATCAGGGAGTTTCAATGGACCCTCCAGTCTTACAGCCTCACACATCATGACATTTTCATGCTCCTGGCCAATACTCTCCTCCCTGAAGAGCGTAGATGAGTTTGGGACTTCGCCCAAACACACGCTACCGAAACCCACAGGACTGACCCCACCTATCCCCCTAGCCCCACTGCTGTCCCCGAACAAGACCCACACTGGAATTATAACACCGCCATAGGTCTCCGCTCTCGAGATATTTTTGCCTCCTGCTTAATAGCAGGTCTGAAAAAGGCAGCTCGTAAAGTAGTCAATTTTCAAAAGCTCCAAGACATAATTCAAAAGAGAGATGAAACCCCCTCCGAGTTCTTAGACAGACTCACTCAAGCCCTATTACAGTATACCAGCCTGGACCCAGAAACACCTGAAGGAAGACATGTCCTTATGACATACTTCCTAGCTCAAAGCTACCCCGACATTAAAGCTAAACTCAAAAAGTTAGAACAGGGCCCCGCTACCCCACAGACTGAGATCCTAACAGTGGCCTTTAAAGTCTTCCATAACCGGGAGGAGGAGAAAGAACGCCGTAAACAAAAGGCTGATCAGGCCAATTTCCAGATGTTGGCCCAGCTGATAAAACCACAACCTGGGCGCCCCTCTACAAACAAGCCCCCCCAAGAGCTTGTTTCAAGTGCAGAAAAGAGGGACATTGGTCAAGGGCGTGCCCCTCCCCCAGATCTCCTACCACCCCATGCCCCAGATGCCACAAAAAGGGCCACTGGGGGTCTGATTGCCCAACCACCCGAAGGGGAGGCTGGACGAACAACCCCCATCCTAAGCCCGCCGTAGTGGGGCTGGCAGAAGAAGATTGATGGGGCCCGGGGGCTTCTCGCCCGACCATTTCCATCACCAAACAGGAGCCCAGGGTTACTTTAACAGTAGACAGTCGCCCCATCTCCTTCCTCCTAGATACAGGAGCCACCTTCTCAGTCTTGCGAGAATACCGGGGCCCTACCACGCCAGCCATTACTCCTATAGTCGGGGTAGGAGGTAAACAGATTTTCCCATTAAAACCCCCCCCCCTTTATGCACAATCCTAGACAGTCCCATACCTTTCTCCCACTCCTTCCTAGTTATGCCCCAGTGTCCCATCCCTTTACTAGGACGGGACATCCTTTCCCTCCTCCACGTTTCCATAACTATATCCACTCCCACAGCCCCCAGTACTCCCTTTCTGATGGCCCTCATAGCCAACAACCCCCCTCTACCCAATGAAAGCTCCGGTTCCGCCCTCATACACCCTGTAAATCCCAAAGTTTGGGACATTACAAGCCCCTCCGTGGCCCTATGTCCCCCTGCCTCTATCAAATTACGTGACCCCTCTCAGTATATCTGTCAGGCCCAATACCCCCTAACCACTTCAGCCCTCATAGGCCTCCAACCCATCATTCAAGATCTCTTAAACAAAAATTACCTCAGACCCACTCACTCCCCATTTAATACCCCCATATTAGCTGTTAAAAAAACCAACGGATCTTTCCGCCTTGTCCAAGACCTTCGCCTCATCAACATAGCCATTGTCCCTATCCATCCCTTAGTTCCAAATCCATACAGCCTCAGCATCCCACTTCTCAGTCCTAGATCTCAAAGACCCATTTTTCTATCCCTCTAGACCCCTGCTCCCAAGATTTTTTCATCTTCACCTGGACGGACCCATACACAAGACATTCTAAACAACTCACTTGGTCAGTTTTGCCACAAAGCTTCCGAGATAGTCCCCATATTTTTAGACAGGTCCTAGCTCAGGACCTCAAACAGTTTCATCATGATCACTCCAAGTCCACCTTATAATACATAGACAATCTTCTACTCTGCAGTCTCTCGTGGGAACAGTCTCAACTTGACACTGCCTCCCTACTTAACCTTCTAGCTTCCAGAAGTTACCGAGTATCCCCCGTCAAAGCTCAAATCTCTTCCCCTCCTGTCACTTACCTCAGATTCCTTCTATCTCAACAAAGAAAGTCCATTACCTTAGACAGAAAATGGCTCCTCTCTGACCTGCCCATTCCCAAAACCAAGACAAAAATCCTTTCCTTTCTAGGCCCTTTCTAAGCCTAGCTAGATATTTTAGAACGTAGATCCCTAACTTCTCCCTGCACCCTGTTGGCAAGACCCCTATACAACCTCAGCAAGAGCCCCCCTAAAAAACCATTATCCTCCTCACCCCGACACTCCTTCATTAAGCTCCGTCAAGCCCTTGTAGAAGCCCCAGCTCTCCATCTTCCTGATTTGTCGAAGCCCTTCTCATTATACATTCATGAGAGGTCCAGTCAAGCTCTAGGAGTCCTAGGCCAATATTATGGCCCATCCTTTGCCCCAGTAGCTTATCTCTCCAAGCAATTAGACCCCACAGTTCGGGGATGGGCCCCCTGCCTACGAGCATTAGCCGCTAGACAGCTCTTGCAGAAAGAAGCTCATAAACTGACATTCAGGGCGCCCCTTACCATTCTGTCCCCACATCACCTAAAAGATCTCTTAACCTACAAAAGTTTACAGACTCTCCCTCCCTCCAGACTCCTGACCTTACTGTCCTCTTTCCTCCAAAATCCTGTTCACCCCCTTTGCCATCCATACCCGAATCATGACTTTTTCCTCCTTTACTGCTCTCTTGCTTTTTTCCCTCATTCCTATTGTCTTCCCCACCACCCCAGCCTCCTTTGTATGGCGATTCAAAGTCAGACAGACTTACACACAGCATCAAACAAAAGTTACTGCCCTCATTGCCACACCAGACTGCCCTCTGAAAAGCTGCTCTGAGCCTTTATACCTCCACTTTCCTCCCTCCACTGAAGTGTTCACTAGCAGCTACCCTTATTCTCCCTACCTCTGCTTCCTCTATGACCAAAAACAAGCCTATTGCAGGCGATGGCCAGACACCTACAGGAGATGTCCCTACTGGTCTTGCGCCATTCACTACATGGGTAACTTCCAGTACCCACAGTATTACTCCTCCAACCGTTTCATGAAATATCCCAACGGCTCATTCTCCTTATCAATCCCAGATCCCTGGGACTCTCGATGGGCTGCTGGAGTAACAGCCTCAGTTTACTACAAGGGGTCCTCGACCCCCCATGGTACCCTTCATATCTCTCGAGAGTATGTTCCCTCTCGCTCCCAGATCTCTCAAGTTGCATCAGATATCAGACATTCCGAAAAAGTCATTATCCAAACTCTTGATGGCGCCTCTTCATCTTCTTATTCCTCCTACTCTTGGTTACAGCTCATTCAAGACACCACCATCTTTCTCAACCACACCCTCAACACCGCCAATTGTTTCTTGTGCGCATCACTACAGCGCCCACTGCTGGCCGCCGTGCCCCTTAATATTTCCAACTACTCCTTCCATGCAGAAAGACAACCCCTCTGCCCCCTGGCAGACATACCCCTATGGGAAC